TTGGGACAGAGAGAGACAGAGCATGAACGGGAGGGGCAGAGAGAGAGGGAGACACAGAATCGGAAACAGGCTCCAGGCTCTGAGCCATCAGCCCAGAGCCTGACGCGGGGCTCGAACTCACGGACCGCGAGATAGTGACCTGGCTGAAGTCGGACGCCCAACCGACTGCGCCACCCAGGCGCCCCTCCTGTTCACCTTTGAGGTCCCAGCCTAAAGATTACTTCTCAGGGAGGTGTTCCCAACCCTCTCCATCCCAATCTCGACTGACTTACTCTTCTACTCACAACATTGTCTTTCTGTCTTTGCCCTTGGCAAGTCATTTGTGACTTCACGTGAGTGTTTGCTTAGTTCTTGGTCCCCCTCTAGACTGAACACTGCATGAACCCAGGAAGCAAGCCTGTTCAGTTCAGCACATAGCAGAAAGCCTGATTCATAGAGGATACTCAGTAAAGGTTGGTGACTGAACAAATAATTGTCCCCGAATCACGTAACTAATAGCACAGTACTAAGTAATCTCCTGTGTTTTGGAGACTGTATTCTCCAAGAAAGTGTTTTTCAGTGGAAACAAGAGAGAGGTTTCTGATGGCTGTTTCAGTTGCCTGTGTCATTTCGGTTAACCACGTGTCTTTTTCCCTCCAGCATGGAGATCTCCTCTCACCAGTCCCACCTCCTGCAACAACTAAACGAACAACGCAGGCAAGATGTCTTTTGTGATTGCAGCATTCTGGTTGAAGGGAAGGTCTTCAAAGCGCATCGAAATGTATTATTTGCTAGCAGTGGCTATTTCAGAATGCTTCTTTCTCAGAATTCAAAGGAGACCAGTCAACCCACTACAGCTACATTTCAGGCTTTCTCCCCCGACACTTTTACGGTTATCCTGGACTTCGTCTATTCCGGCAAACTCTCTCTTACTGGTCAGAATGTCATAGAAGTGATGTCAGCTGCTAGCTTCCTTCAGATGACTGATGTCATTAGTGTATGTAAGACCTTTATTAAATCTTCACTAGACATTAGCGAGAAAGAAAAAGATCGCTATTTCAGTCTCTCCGATAAAGATGCTAATTCTAACGGTATAGAACGTTCCTCCTTTTATAGTGGTAGCTGGCAAGAAGAAAGCGGTTCTCCACATTCTCACCTAAGCCCAGATCAAGGAACAGGTATAATAAGTGGGAAATCTTGGAGCAAGTATAATTACCATCCAGCCTCCCAAAGGAACACCCAACAACCTTTGGCCAAGCATGAACAAAGGAAAGACTCCATTAAAAAGTCCAAACATTGGAGGTTGTCACAGCCTTCTGAAGTTGCTCATTATAAGTCTAGCAAACGAGAAGCTCGGACATCGGATTCTTCCGGCCACATTTCCCAGTCGGAAGAACAAGCACAAGTTGATGCTGACATGGACTCTACTCCTGTTGGCTATCCGTATGGTCCAGGATCTGATGTCACATCCAGAAGCTTTCCAGGTACCCCAAAAAAGCATCAGTCCTCTCAATGAGTTTCTAAGACTCCTATCCAAATCAGTCCTATCTCAACATGCCCTTACTTTGAAGTGTTACAGGCAGTTAAACCAAGAGGTTTTTTTTAAGTCCTACTTCTCTAATGAAATTTATTGTATAAGACATAAATTTAAATTTTTAACTAAAAATAATATTGGCTAAATTTGAGAATAGTCAAGACTTAACAGACTTCTGAGGTACAAAGCCAAGATTTCCAAACCTGTGTCAACAGATGATTAGATCACTGTTAAGTGTGTAAAGCTCTCTTCTAAATGGTTTAAATCCCTAAGGGGCATAGCTTCACTTTAAATAGGTTATTTTTTTTCTGAATATTCACTCAGGAGGAGTACTTTTATAGAGAAAAGTTAAACAGAGCAACCATGTGAACTTACAAAGGTTCACAGACCCAAGACCTACCAGAAATGAAACTATATCTGATTTTATTGAGATATAAATACATAATTAAAAAAAAAAAAAAAACACACAACCCATAGCATTGACACTGTAATCCTATATGCAACAATAATATGAGACATCTCATTTTTATGATAGTAGTAAAATGCAGAAACATTATTATGTAGGTTGTTGGTTTCAGTAATTCTCCCCTCCCTGCCATAGAGAACAGGGATTAGAAATGCATGTCATTTTTTTTATGTTTATTTGTTTTTGAGAGAGAGAGACAGACTGTGAGTAAGGGAGGGACACAGAGAGAGGGACACAGAATCAGAAGCAGGTTCCAGGCTCTGAGCTGTCAGCACAGAGCCCGATGTGGGGCTCGAACCCATGAACTGTGGGATCATGACCTGAGCCAAAGTCAGAAGCTCAACTGACTGAGCCACCCAGGTGCCCCAGAAATGCATGTCATAATCAGGCAGCAAATTAATTAATCAAGTAGCAAATTTGCTTAATAGTTTACATGTGAATTTAAAGGAAAATCATAAGATGAAACTCCTACTGATTATGATTCAGATTATATATTTAGAATTTTTTTTAATTTAGGAAAATTTCAAACATATAAAAAAGTAAAGAGAATAGCATAATTCACCTCCATGTACCCCATTACCCAGTCTGAACAACTTCCGACTCATGGTCAATCTTGTTTCATCTGGATCACTACTTCTCACCCTTCCCTTTAGTATTATTTTTTTAAGTGTATTTATTTTGAGAGCGAGAGAGAGAGAAAGCCTGAGTGGGGGCGAGGCAGAGAGAGAGGGAGAGAGAGAATCTCAAGCAGGCTCTAATGCAGGACTTGATCTCACAAACCATGAGATCATGACCTGAGCCGAAATCAAGAGCCAGACACTTAACTGACTAAGCCACCTAAGCATCCCTCCCTTTATTATTTTTAAGCAAATATAACACATCATAAGTTTTCATCTGTAAATATTTCAGAAAGTGTCCCTAAAATACAGTCTTTTAAAAAAACCCACTACAATACCATAATTGTACCTAAACAAAATTAACAGTTTCTTAACATCAGTAAATAGCCAGTCAGTATTCACATTTCCTGGGTTGTCACATAAATTTTTAAAAATAATTCGGTTGTGGGTGCTTGGGTGGCTCAGTGGTTAAGCATCCAACTCTTGATTTCAGCTCAGGTCATTTTCTCACGGTTTGTGGGTTCCAGCCCTGCATCATCAGGTTCAATGCTGACAACACGGAGCCTGCTTGAGATTCTCTGTCCCTTTGTCTCTGCCTCTCCCCCGTGCTCACTCACATGCACATTCTTTCTCTAAATACATAAATAAACTTAAAAAAAAACAACAACAAACAATTCAGGTGTAGATAAGATACCTTAAAATAATAGGCAACCAAGGGGCGCCTGGGTGGCTCTGTTGGTTGAACGTCTGACTGGCTCAGGTCACGATCTCAAGGTTCGTGAGTTCAAGCCCTGCATTGGGCTCACTGCTGCCAGTGCAGAGCCCGCTTCTGATCCTCTGACCCGTTCTCTCTGCCCCTCCCCTGCTCGCTCGCTTTCTCTCGAAAAGAAACATTAAAAAAAATAATAGGCAACCGGATTGATCTTTACTAACCACATTTTTCTGTAGTACTAACCTGAAAAGACATGAAATTATATCCTATTACAGAGCTTACTAAACGTCCTGCTGAGCTCTGACCATTGACCAAGGCATAGTGGTAACAGAGCAAAAATGAGAAATCTCTATTGAGTTTTAAAACAGCAAAAGACTGATCTTTTCTCTGTTTATGCTCTGTACTTCTGTAATTCTAGGCTATGTTAACCTAACTTCAGTAATGAACAGCTGAATTTAACAGCTATTAAATTGAAATTTGCCTCCAATCATAACTAACATCTTGAATACATATGAGTTTTATTTTTTTAAATTATATATATATGTATATATATGTTTTGTTTTGTTTTGTTTTGCTTTTAGTAATCTCTATGCCCCACATGGGGCTTGAACTCATGACCCCGAGATCAAGAGTTGCATGCTCTACTGACTAAGCCATCCAGGCACCCCTTGAATACAGTTTTATTAAAAAAAATTTTTTTTTAATATTTATTTATTTTTTAACAGAGAGAGAGAGAGAGAGAGAGAGAGAGAGAGAGAGAGAGAGACAGAGTGCCAGCAGGGGAGGGACAGAGAGGGGGAGACACAGAATCCAAAGCAGGCTCCAGGCTCTGAGCCGTCAGGACAGAACCCAACACAGGGCTCAAACCCACAAACTGTGAGATCATGACCTGAGCTGAAGTGAGATGCTTAACCGACTGAGCCACCCAGGCGCCCTTTTTTATCGTTTTTCTTTTGAATACATGAGTTTTAAAACAAAAAAATTAAATATGCTTGTCATTTTTTCACCTTTAAAAGTACTACAAGTGTATGAAAAGAAAAGGCAAGAGGATAAAAATAGGTAAATAAAAAAGTCACTTAAAAGCTATCATATTAAATACTTTTACTTCGGATTGTATCTCCAGTTTTAAAATCCAGCACCACCTTTTGACATTTCAAATCTAGTGACTCTACAACACTGAGTAGAAAGATAAGGGTGAGAGTCAGTTAACCCTGACTTTGTAAATATATCAAATACTGAAGTTACAGTTCTGGACTCAGGATCACATTAATGATCTAGTCTTAATAAAACTTCTTTCTTGGGGCGCCTGGATGGTTCAATTAAGCGGCCCACTGACTCCTGATTTCCGTTCAGGTCACGATCCCAGGGTCATGGGATAGAGCCCCGAGTCCAGCTCCGTGCTGAGTGTGGAGCCTGCTTGAGATTCTCTCTCTCCCTCTCCCTCTGCCTCTCCCCTGCTTGCTTGCACTCTCTCTCTCTCTCTCTCTCTCTCTCTCTCTCTCAAAATAAAAAAATTAAAATTAAAAAAAAGGGAAAAGAAATAAAAGAAATAAACGCAATTTCTTCCTTCTCCTTTTCTCCTGCCTTTCGAAGACGGGACTCACCAACTCCTTTGGGATTCTTCGTGTTATACAATTGTTATGATGAACTTTCCAGAAATTTAATCAGACTGTCTCCTGACAGATGATCTGCCCAGGATGCGGTTCAAGTGCCCGTACTGCACACACGTGGTGAAGCGGAAAGCAGACCTCAAGCGCCACCTTCGCTGCCATACGGGAGAAAGGCCCTATCCGTGTCAAGCTTGTGGGAAAAGATTTAGCAGGCTGGACCATCTAAGTAGCCATTTCCGAACTGTATGTATATAATTTTTCATCATCTTACTTCTTAAGAAATGTGCGCATTTATCTGCTTTAGGATTTACTAAATCTCATTTACTGCGGGAAATCTTTTCATACAATTCTACCATATTGGAAATGTTTCCAACTTAATGGTTTTCCTTTACATGTGATGCATAATTTAATATATAATATATATACATTTTTTAATTCTCCTTTGAGACCTTGAAGTAAGAGATAGTCTTTTGAATATCCATTTTACTTTTTTGTTTTTTATTTATTTTTTGGAATATATATTATAATTCATTTAAAATCTAATATGTTTTTGTATACTGGTCTTTTCAAGAGCCGAAGACGATGTAAAGCAAAGATATTTGAATGTCTAGGTCAGAGTCACTACTTCAGGTACTCAGCCTCTGCTAGTGGTTCTCGAATCCTTTTCTGAAAGGATCTCAGTCTAGTTTCTACTGTTCAACCTCTGTCCACTATACTCCCTTTTTAGTCTCTCTCTAGTTTATCTGTAGTCTCCTCAAGGAAGGGAGCAAGGTGGGAGATTGAGCCACTTCCAGCTAGGGACAGGATTGTCAGCAGTCAGAAATCTCAGGGAATTTGCTGTTCAGTGCTCTGGTGGGTTAATAAGGTAAGGACATTGGAAAATTACTCTGCTGTTCATCTTGAGGCAAGAATGTTTTCCAAAATCTGTTGTATTACTCATACTTTTATTCCATTTATATGATCTCCTTTTAGCTTTAAAGGACAGTGGATTGGGGCACCTGAGTGCCTCAGTTGGTTAAGTATCCAACTGGATTTTGGCTCAGGTCATGATCTCACAGTTTGTGAGATTGAGCCCCAAATTAGGCTCTGTGCTGACAGCACAGACCCTGCTTGGGATTCTCTCCCTCTCTTTCTGCCTCTCCCCTGTGCTCACTCTCTCTCTCCCTAGCTCAAAATAAATAAATAAACTTTAAAAAATAATAAATACCGACTTTGGCTCAGGTCATGATCTCGCGGTTCGTGAGTTCAAGCCCCGCGTCGGGCTCTGTGCTGACAGCTCAGAACCTGGAGCCTGTTTCAGATTCTGTGTCTCCCTCTCTCTCTCTGACCCTCCCCCATTCATGCTCTGTCTCTGTCTCAAAAATAAATAAACGTTAAAATAAATAAATAAATAAACAAACAAATAAATAAATATAATAAATACTAAATAAAGGACAGTGGGTCACTTAAGGCAATTTCTTCATGCATTGCTTTATAGTTAGTCAGCAAATATATACTGAGCACCTATGCGCCAGCCCCTTTTCTCAGTGCTAGGTATCCATCAGTGAGTGAGCAAAACAGACAAAATCTCTACCTTCATTAACCTTATGAAGCTGGTTTTTTAAAATTAAAAACAACCTTTTATTATTTAAAGCAATGAAAAAGTATTAAACAAAGTAAAAATAAGAAAAATAAAATACTTTATTTTCACCACCGAAATATACCTTTTTTTTTTTTTTCAACGTTTTTATTTATTTTTGGGACAGAGAGAGACAGAGCATGAATGGGGGAGGGGCAAAGAGAGAGGGAGACACAGAATCGGAAACAGGCTCCAGGCTCGAGCCATCAGCCCAGAGCCTGACGCGGGGCTCGAACTCACGGACTGCGAGATCGTGACCTGGCTGAAGTCGGACGCTTAACCGACTGCGCCACCCAGGCGCCCCCGAAATATACCTTTCTTAACACTTTATCACATGCATATATATGGGTTGTTTCTAACTAAATTAGATCATACTACTTGTGATATTTTGTAGCCTGCTCTCTTTCGTGAATAATCTACCTTGCCATCTCAGTAAACTTTTATTTGACATCCAGGTCAATTTCGCATTTCCCTGTAGTCTCCCAATACCTTTTATAGCTGGTTTTTCCAAGCCAGTATCCAATTCAGGACCCAGGGATCTCACTGTTAAGTCCCTTAAATATGTTTTTAAGAGAGCATAGTACTCTCAGCCACCCTTTTTATTTCCATAACACTGACTTACTTGAGATATCAAGATAATTGTTTTATAAAATAACCTACCTCTTGATTTCTCTGCTTGCTTCCACATGGTGTCATTTAGTTTGTTCCTCTCTCCCCCCTGAATTTTCTATAAACTAGAATTTTTATCTAAAGTCTTAATGGATTCAAGAAAAATACTTTCCGGGGCACCTGGGTGGCTCAGTTGGTTGAGCGTCCGACTTCGGCTCAGGTCATGATCTCACGGTCTGCGAGTTCGAGCCCCGCATCCGGCTCTGTACTGACAGCTTGGAGCCTGGAGCCTGCTTCGCATTCTGTGTCTCCCTCTCTCTCTGGCCCTCCCCCATTCATGCTCTGTCTCTCTCTGTCTCAAAAATAAATAAACGTTAAAAAAAA